CTCAAACCCCTCGAGAAGGCACACAACCAAGCATTATGACTAATTACTGGAAGGATAAAATCAGCACCCACTGATGCAATGCTCCTAGTTACAGGAAGCACTCCAATAGGTTCCCTTATCAAAGAGAAGGCCTTGGTCTTGTATGAAAAGCTACTATGCATTCCCATGGATAAGTTCTTCAGCACCTATGAGAATAGACTAAAACATCTGAAAATGCAATTTGGTCTAATACAGAAAGCCATAGAATGTAAGAAAGCATTACAAAGTGATGGAAAACCAAAAAGCCTCTCTCCCCCCATGAACCCATTGGCAGACACTGATGTAGTGTGTTGCACCCAACTGCTTGAATTTTTCAGGAAAACAAACACCCCTCCAGAACAAATGCACTCACTGGCCCTTGAGACAATCAGTGTCAACTATCCTGGAGATCAATGGCTCCAAGTCTTCACTGATGCGTCATACATAGAAAACCAAGCAAACGTTGGTGCAGGTGTCTATTCTGAACTCTTCTCTTTCTACGCAACAGCGGCACACAATAGATCTGCTTTTGAAGGAGAAATAGAGGCCATTAGGATAGCACTATGCCAATTATGTTGCCTCGATACGAAATCCACCAAATCAGTAATCCCTTCGGACTCACAGTCAGCATAAACTCAATTGGAAACAGAGAGCCACCCAAAACAACTGAGATAAACGAATGTGGAAAACTCTATGAGCTGCTGAGAGAGAATAACAATACAGTGGTCCTACAATTGATTCCTGGTCCCTGTGACATTAAAGGCAATGAGCTTGCAGACACCCTTGTTAAGAAGGGGACAACGATTTTGCAATGCATGGACCGGCCGATATCTTTCCACACAATGAAGGCCTTAATCAGAAGAGAATTCAAGACCTCGAGGTGCAACGAATTTAAAGCTTGAACAAAGGAGAAACAGTGGACAGTGGCACTCTCCGACTGGCCAAGAATCGAAGCCGTTGTTGAGTTCAGACTACGTACCGGACACGATTGCTTATCAAAACACCTTCACAGATTGGGAGTATACACTCAACCCACATGCCCTCTATGTAACCTACAGGAGAAAATGGAGAAGACCCACCTGATTCGGTGTCTTGGCCTTGTGCATATGAGGTTGTGGGGGAGTCCATCAATGACCAAATAGAAATCCTGCTGTAGAATATTACTCAGAAATATTTAGCTATTAATTTTCACGCGAATTATGCTAGTTATCTGATAACTAATCGGTTTGCCAACATAACACTTCGCGAGCAATATACGTACCGAATAAACGTATTCCGGGCTACACGTCTGTTTCCCTTATAGCTGGGCCATAGCTTAGCTTGTTCTGGGAGTCTAGCTAGATGTTGGAGAATCTGCCATAGAGATTTCTGAGTCGGCCAAGCTTTAATAAAGTAGCAATCCGCTACAATATTTCTAGGATCAGCGTTGTCACTGTTACAGTCTTGCGGGGCCCGCGGTGGTCTTAGTGGACTCGAGGTTTATTACTTCTTATATTCTACATATTCTCCAGATAGTGTCTATTGATAATCGATAAGGAATGTACTTTCGACACTAACTGAGTTGGATTTTGCATATTTGAATTTCAATAAGGTGATATAATTAAACCAATTTGAGTTCTTTTTAGAAATCAGAAGAAGTAATTAAATATAAAATGTTAAATAGTCAGAGAATGTATTCCCTCGAGATCAATTAAACAGCTACCCTCAATAAAAGGTTCGTGTAATTCTAACTAAATATCAATATATTTATTGTTCACTAAAGATAAATCCCTAATGTTTAAGTTGATCTAGGTTAGAAATAAATGCACTTTTGATACTATAAAAGGTCGATGGTAAAAGTTCGCTTCAAAATATAATTAAAGCTCTAGACGTTTACTGAGACTCAAAATGGTAAGCAACTCTTTCTTCGATTCTAAATGGTGTTCCATGTAATAGCGTGAAGTGATAAGCATCCATGTCGGTCAAGCTGGTACTCAGATAGCCAATGCCTGTTGGGAACTCTTCTGTCTGGAGCACGGGATCCAACCCGATGGCAAAATACACTCAGACAGAACCACTGAGGGTGAGGGCAACGCTTTCAACACGTTCTTTAGTGAGAGTGATGCTGGCAAACACGTGCCTCGAGCTGTCTTCATCGACCTTGAACCAACGGTCATCGATGAAGTTCGCACAGGCATATATCGTCGACTCTATCACCCCGAACAACTGATTTCTGGCAAGGAGGATGCAGCCAACAATTATGCTCGTGGTCACTACACCATTGGGAAAGAAATAGTTGGTTTAGTTCTTGATCGAATTCGCAGATTGTCAGAGAATTGCTCAGGTCTACAAGGATTCTTTGTCTACCATTCATTTGGAGGAGGTACTGGTTCTGGCTTCACTTCTCTTCTTCTTGAAAGACTAAGCAACGAATTTGGAAGGAAACCGAAGTTGGTTTTTTCTATTTATCCAGCTCCTCACTTTTCAACAGCGATTGTTGAACCTTATAATTCAATTCTCTCAACGCATGGCACAATCGAACACACAGATGTTTCCTTTTTGGTTGATAATGAAGCTATTTACGATATCTGCAGGTAATTTGATCATTTTTAACTTATTTTCCATCTTAGGCGCAATCTGGATATTGAAAGACCAACATACAACAACCTGAATCGTTTGATCAATCAGGTTGTGAGCTCTCTAACTGCATCATTACGATTTGACGGTGCTCTTAATGTCGATATTACAGAGTTTCAAACAAACTTGGTGCCATATCCTCGTATCCATTTTCCAGCGATCTCCTATGCACCAATACTCTCAGCTGACAAAGCATTTCATGAGCAGTTGACGGTTAGTGAAATCACCAATGCCTGTTTCGAACCTGACAATTTCATGGTTAAATGTGATCCTCGTCGTGGCAAATACATGGCCTGTACTCTGATGTACCGTGGTGATGTGATCCCAAAAGATGTCAATGTTGCAGTGGGTAAGATAAAGACGAAACGAACTATACAATTCGTGGACTGGTGTCCAACAGGTTTCAAGTGTGGTATCAACTCGCAACCTCCAAGTGTGATTCCAGGAGGAGATTTAGCTGAAGTTGTGCGTGCAGTTTGCAACATCAGCAACACCACCGCCATAGCCGAGGCGTGGGCTCGTTTGAATCACAAATTTGATTTGATGTTTGCCAAACGAGCCTTCGTGCACTGGTATGTGGGTGAGGGTATGGAGGAGGGTGAGTTCTCTGAAGCTCGT